AAGAACACAGGGCAGACAGTCGTCACATGACAGACTCCCAGCCTGGTGTGGGGTAACATAAAGAAAATACAGCCAGGAGATTCTCAGCACAGCAGATGCTGCCCCTCTTCAGGGTCTAAAAAATGCTTGGCACTCCTCTACTGCTAGGACTTCAGCAACAGAGATTGTCTCCTCCTTTCACTCTGTTTATATAGCAAAAGTTATATGGAACCCCTTGCTAAAACTAAACAAGGTTAGAAGTTAGTTCTATTTTAAATGGCTTTATAAATCAAAATGAAAAACATGAATTACATGTTGAAACAAATAAAAATTCAGTGAAGAAGACAGACTCTGGGCTAAGATGGTCCCTGTTGTAAACTGTGCTTTATAAGCAATCCCTGCATTCTGTTCTACCCAGAGATTCTAGGTGGGGCTCAAAGTCTCCAAAGCACTCTGTATTATTCCAGAATTAAGAAGCTAAAGCTCTTAAAGTTCATTAATATTGAAAGCTAGCAAGCTGTGTCCCACTGCAGAAATGCCTCCCTCACAATTGTGAAGCAGCACCAATGGATAAAGATGATGCAGGAAAATGGAACAAACAGTAGGAGGAAAATGAAGAGTACAGTATATCCTAGAGAGCTCAAGAACAAATAAAATATTTAAAAAGAAGAACAAAGCTGCTTTTTAATTCCTGTCCAACCTATAATGTGACCTCACCTGTTACCAGCCCTAGGCATGTTCTGTTTTAAACTCTCACCCTGTAAAAATCCTATGAAACAAACTGTCACAGGATTCAGACCCCACATGGAGCATGGGGGGACTTTGATGTGATCTTCTCATACCCTGAAATTCCCAATCTCTAAGTTAGATTCAGTAACAAACTTTGAATTAGTTTCATATGTTACCAGAAGAGATAGTTTTAGACTTGTAGTTCGTTTACAGTGCAATCCTGCTCTTCAACTCTACCTCATTACCCATTCTGAACTACAGCCATGTTTGACAGACACAGCACAGTTCTCTGCCTGTAACAGTGATTTTAAACTGTGCTCCAGCTCTTTTTTTTTTTTTTTTTTGGGGGGGGGGGGGGGGGGGGGTTGTT